CTCCGAAGACTTTGTGATGCCGAATTCTAGCAGGGAGATGTTCAAATAGTATTGCAGCGTCCTGTACTAGCACGATCCGCAAGAACTCTAAAAACTCAATGAACCCGCGTGCTGCTAAATTGCGTTCCCATTCTTCGGATATAATCTTCTCTTTGAATGATCGCAGGCCCGGAAAAATATCGGTCAAGAGCTCTTCGGGTGGCTCAAGAGTGGCACGATCCAAGTAATATAGTCGAGACTTGGGAGGGTGACCAGAGAGTGCGCGGATAGCTTCTCGGGCTAAAGGGGCTGAGTAAACAGCTTCCACTGTATCCAGTCCCCAACGACCGTGCCGGCGTGTTTGTGATATGTCGACGTCGGCACTCTCAAGCTGCCTCACACCTTGCTGTCTATTGATGTGAGTTTTTTTGTTAAACGTCAGCCCAAGATGTTTGAAAACGGCTCCATAGCTCTTCTTATGAGTTTCGTAGGATATAGACCTGGTCCGAGTTTTACCGCATAAAAATTTGATGTCGTACCAATCTCTAGACTGTTGAAACGATGGAAGTGGCTCTAAATCGACGTGAAAGCGCTCAAAAAAATAAAAGGCTACAGATCCAACTGGACACAAATGTACGTTTTTGTTCCGCATAAACCCAACATGCTGACGTGATAGTTTTCCCGTGTTGAATCAATAGAACCATTGCTGTGCAAGGCTGAAAGCCCTCGTTATCAAGAAGCTGTGAGAACATATCGGCGAGCTCCAAGTCACGTATATTCTCACCGCGAAGCAAACCATAGTGAGAAACTAGAAACGCAGCGCGTCCGCGTAGATCATCAAGCAGAAAAAAACTATCACAAATCTGGCGAAACTGCAATTCCGAGTGGTATCCGTCTAGGAGAGATCCAACACCGCGATCCTGGTAATTTTTCTTCTTAATTTCAGTACTTTTAGCTTGCACATTTCTTAACAATTGTTTTACTTGAGCGGACCGAGGGTGCTCGTTTGAGTTCACTCGAAGTGCCACCTGTTGACTATATAGGTCGACAACGGCGTTTGCGTACCCACATACAGTCGACCCTCGGACAGTCGTTCCCTTTTTCTTTTTGGATTCTCTTCCCACAACTTGCTTGGACAGGAAAAGATGCAACTTGCCTTTTGTGACTGTAGAACCGTCGCAGAAGTGCTTGTCGTGGCACCACAAAACAAACTCCTTCTGATAACCCTCGTATTTTCTTTTGGTGTTGATGGGACGCGAATCCAACGTAGTTTGGAGCGTCGCACGCTCACTCTCCTCTATCTGTAATTGAGTAGCGCTGTCATTGACTAAATTACGGGCCTGTGAGGCTGACGTTGCTGCGGCCGAGAGCATTGAGATGCCCGAAGTCCTTGTCATCGCTGTGTGTCTCTTCGCGCTTACAAGTATGACGACAAGGGTAACATGAAAATTGATATTTCGATTAGGTCCCAAACTTAATAATGACTCGGGTCAGGACCCATACAACGGACAGCCTGATACTCATTAAGTAAAACGCAGAAAGTCATGACTCGGTCATGACCTTGGACCTGTTTTTTAATAAATATGTACAGATATTACTCGCAAGGTCGTGAACTAAATACTGTGATCTTATTGGCTTAAAGTATGAAAAATGCAGGCGTGTGCCATTTGATAAAATCACACCAAGACCAAGACTCGTTGAGAAGCAGAGACGACGACTTGCCAAGCAGTGGAAGCTGTGATCACCGCCGCGTATCGCCCGCGGATGCAGCCTAACGCTACAAGCACTTCGAGGCTTTAAAGCGCTCCGCTAACGGTGCTCAACCGACGAGCTCTGTCCCTCTCGTGGGCGCAGTAAAGATCAGATTACGAGCTTCCACAAGAGCACTACAGGCTTCGTGCATGACAGTCTTCTTCCAGTCACCAGTCGATGCTGCGGGTTAGTTGCCTTGTGCTTCCCTGCGAATGGTCAGTGTGTAATGTGCCCTGGTCGGCCTCGTGCTAACTATTGCGATGTTAATAGGGTCTTTGCAAGGTGCTCAGTACCGCTATGCTGAAATTATCATTCTATAGAGCTTGACAACAAACGCGTGGCTGAGGATTTGTACAAGTAACAGCTACTAACTCAACATGTATTTATTGGTGTAGAGCTCACCGCCATGCGCGATACGAATGAATCATCAACTCATGCTGACACGTGATATGCGCTGAGGTAACGAACGGGATAATTTACATGATATGAAGTTAAAACTATACATGACTAATGTGATCTGTACTGCGTAACCACTTAGAGAAAGCATCGATACTTCTGGTTCCACGCTCACCATCAGCTTTAACAATGGCAGATTCGGCTGACAGTCCACGTCGTACTAGACACCGTACGTATTTAATCACATATAAGCGCCGCGAGAAGAACTTTGACTCTCTTGTAGATGATCGCCATTTGGTTCCATACATACGCTCTAGTGATTCAATCGATGGCTGATTTGCTATACCTTCATGCCATTCAGTCCATAGCTGGCGTACCGTAGATACACCACGGCTCATAGCATATTGAGGAGGGTTTCCTATATTCGCCGGTGGCGTCTTTAACGGGGTAATGTGAGTTGTATCGACACTGGCTGTATGGATACGATCTGACGTCCGGTTAATATTATCGTTGCCAATATTTCGAACAGGTAGTATGAGGTACGCGACCTCGCCTTAAAGGAATGAGGTAAGCTGTCCTTCCAGTCGCTGAACTACATTCACCAGGTCCTTATGCCTTGCTTCTACTTTGTCCATTACAGCAGCGTGTTGAGTCCGTATTTGCTCTGTTAAAAGTGGCATGGCCACTTGAAGTTGTGATTCCACTGGATGCTGAGCTGTTAGCATGGCAGCAGAAAGGTTGGTTCGATACTGTTGAAAACAATCTCCGAAGACTTTGTGATGCCGAATTCTAGCAGGGAGATGTTCAAATAGTATTGCAGCGTCCTGTACTAGCACGATCCGCAAGAACTCTAAAAACTCAATGAACCCGCGTGCTGCTAAATTGCGTTCCCATTCTTCGGATATAATCTTCTCTTTGAATGATCGCAGGCCCGGAAAAATATCGGTCAAGAGCTCTTCGGGTGGCTCAAGAGTGGCACGATCCAAGTAATATAGTCGAGACTTGGGAGGGTGACCAGAGAGTGCGCGGATAGCTTCTCGGGCTAAAGGGGCTGAGTAAACAGCTTCCACTGTATCCAGTCCCCAACGACCGTGCCGGCGTGTTTGTGATATGTCGACGTCGGCACTCTCAAGCTGCCTCACACCTTGCTGTCTATTGATGTGAGTTTTTTTGTTAAACGTCAGCCCAAGATGTTTGAAAACGGCTTCATAGCTCTTCTTATGAGTTTCGTAGGATATAGACCTGGTCTGAGTTTTACCGCATAAAAATTTGATGTCGTACCAATCTCTAGACTGTTGAAACGATGGAAGTGGCTCTAAATCGACGTGAAAGCGCTCAAAAAAATAAAAGGCTACAGATCCAACTGGACACAAATGTACGTTTTTGTTCCGCATAAACCCAACATGCTGACGTGATAGTTTTCCCGTGTTGAATCAATAGAACCATTGCTGTGCAAGGCTGAAAGCCCTCGTTATCAAGAAGCTGTGAGAACATCGGCGAGCTCCAAGTCACGTATATTCTCACCGCGAAGCAAACCATAGTGAGAAACTAGAAACGCAGCGCGTCCGCGTAGATCATCAAGCAGAAAAAAACTATCACAAATCTGGCGAAACTGCAATTCCGAGTGGTATCCGTCTAGGAGAGATCCAACACCGCGATCCTGGTAATTTTTCTTCTTAATTTCAGTACTTTTAGCTTGCACATTTCTTAACAATTGTTTTACTTGAGCGGACCGAGGGTGCTCGTTTGAGTTCACTCGAAGTGCCACCTGTTGACTATATAGGTCGACAACGGCGTTTGCGTACCCACATACAGTCGACCCTCGGACAGTCGTTCCCTTTTTCTTTTTGGATTCTCTTCCCACAACTTGCTTGGACAGGAAAAGATGCAACTTGCCTTTTGTGACTGTAGAACCGTCGCAGAAGTGCTTGTCGTGGCACCACAAAACAAACTCCTTCTGATAACCCTCGTATTTTCTTTGTTGATGGGACGCGAATCCAACGTAGTTTGGAGCGTCGCACGCTCACTCTCCTCTATCTGTAATTGAGTAGCGCTGTCATTGACTAAATTACGGGCCTGTGAGGCTGACGTTGCTGCGGCCGAGAGCATTGAGATGCCCGAAGTCCTTGTCATCGCTGTGTGTCTCCAAGTATGACGACAAGGGTAACATGAAAATTGATATTTCGATTAGGTCCCAAACTTAATAATGACTCGGGTCAGGACCCATACAACGGACAGCCTGATACTCATTAAGTAACTACTTTGTAGTGTTTCGCTAGAAAAATGGCCGCCTGGAATATCAACATGTTCTCGTCCAATATACATGTAGTCAAACTTTTGGTATTATCCGCAAGCCAGCAGAGTGACTCTATTAACAAAATGCAACAACTAGACATGGAAACCAATGTTAGCCTGCTTATGGGGGCTAGAAACGTGTTTACCGGGTAGGTACCAAAGGCATTAACATCGCACTTTGAAACTCTTTGAGAATACCATCGAGAGTGCCAAAAAATCGTATCATATGTAAACCGAGACAGTCCATACTGGAGAAATCGCGTTTTTTTATCATCTTCCACGCCATATTAAATGATAGAGCATCATTTATGGGAGTTGAACCTGTACATTAGAACAGGTTCCTGCTCCACTATGTCTTTTGACACAAAACTACTCTCTGCAGGTACGCTCCCAGGCAAACAGACCACAATCATACTGTGAGACCGCATTGCATGACCGGCTGGAGAGACCAAATGCAAAAAGACTCTTGCGGAAAAGGAGTTTGCGGATTGAGAAAACCAGAACCAGAAGTGACGGTGGATAGGGGCGGAAGAGGGTAGAATATTGTTATTGTAATCGCTATTGAAGAGTAGATTTATCTATCCACCTGCGGCTGGCGAGCGAAGAGCATCAACTAGGATGGCATCTAGCATTTTCCGGCCAGCATCGAGCTGATGCGCGTGAGCAGCAGCGCCTTCAAGCAACCCTGGTACGAAATTGTGCTTTACGTCTTTTAATAGTGGGTCCAAGAAGTGACCACTCTCCACGAGCGTGTCGAATACTTGAACATGGAGAGTAGCCAAATACTGCTTAGCAGACGCACGAGCTGCCACTTTCTCTTTCAACTCTGCCTCTGCTGCGAGACGTGTAGCCTCTTCATCCAGGCGATGCTGCTTCTCTGCGAAACGGCGCTTTGCTTCTGCTTCGAGACGCTGCACCTCGGCCAGCTCAGCGTTACGGGCTTGCTCGAATAGCTTCTGGCGCTGGCGGATCTCTCGCAGCTCATTCTCTTCCAAAAACTCCAGCACCCCGAGCTCCAGGACTTTGCCTACTAGAACCTCCACGATTGGTTCAACCTCAAGGTCAAAGTCGAACAGGTCACCGCTCCCAATCTGTGTGGCTACATCTACCCCCGAGGGTGTCGGCATGACGGTTATGGGCGGGTGTAGATCCAGAAGCGCATCAGTTTGCGTGTCCATGTCTACCTCCGGGATTTTGTCAGCGAGCTCCTCCAGGTAATTGTCTGTCTGCACATCCATGTGAAATCTGTTACTGACCGGCGGAGGTGTGACTGACCGCTGCTGCTGATATTGTTGCTGTTGTTGTGGGTAGCGTGCTGCCCGAGTGGCGGCTTTATACAATTTGCGGGGGTCCCCACCTCCTCGTCCTGGACTTTCTGGTGTCTCCTGCACCAAAGCCAACAACCAATGTTAGTTCATGGAGCACAGCGACCTTTACCCTTTACCCTTTGCAGCGGTGCGCACCTCCCGCAACACGTAGGCACTACCGCGATGCACGCGTTTGTCGAACATTATGTTCTGCGCGCGCTCTGTACTGCCATTTGCGTTATCGAACCTGGATTCATGGATGGACATACAGTGAGCACCACGATCATAAGGAAGTACATGCACGCAAGCAACTGAGAAAGCTCGGACGCACGGGATCACGGAACCCTTGCTGCGCTTTGTAGCGACAGAGCGCGGTGCAGACGAGAATTTGTAGCCGCCGGGCTGCATGGCGACTGACGAAGATAGGATGCGCGGCGATGAAAAAAATACTTCATATCGAGTACTGTTAATTTTAGATTCTGTAAAACCTATAATTCTGCCCATCCCTAAATAAACCCTCTATTTTAGGGAGGGGCACAATGATCAGCATGACCAAGTAAGTGAGTTGTGTTGAAGTTTAAGTTCTCGTACTTTAAGCCAAAAAAATCATAGCCTGCGTCTCAGCAACCTCGTTACCGGTACCGCCTTGGTTCCGCAGAGGTAATCAGATAATTCCAAAGGGGTACTATAATAGGGAGGGGGGAGGGGGTATTTTGGAGAGGCACTATCGTACGACCCTCCCTAAAATAGTACAGTACCCCTGTTTAAGGGGTAGAAATTTCCCATGGGGAACAATTAAAGGTTTTACGGTAAGTTTTTCGAAATATAAAAAAGAATTTAAAGTGCTTACTATTATTAAGCTGAAGTCTTGGAGATGGATCCTTTGCGACCAGCATACGCCCCGACTTTAGATCTTCCCGTAAGAAATAATTATCTTATGCGTTTTACTTATTAATACATGTAGTTTCTATTAAGGCACGTGTTGATACGACGGCCTGATTCACCGATCAAAAGTTGCTTAACAGACTGAGTGCATTTTGTCTCTTATTGTAGAGGTCTATACTGTAACATTATTTTGAATGAACTAAAATCGACTTTTAATTAAATTAGAATAAAATATTAATCTAAAACAACACTTAATTTCTTGTTTATTGAACACAAATATTTTTATAATGGTCAATCGGCATTGATGCATGTATTCAAACGTGAAGTTAATTTTCACGTTGAAGTGGAATATTACCAGAGATTTTGCACTTGAGTTTTATTAACATGTAAGATTGTTGCAACATATGTGGTTTAGTCAAGTAGTTTGTAAAATCAACCAATCGTAGAAACGCATCGGAGATGGCTACATTGACAGCCCCCCCCTCCCCCCCGACATCGAGGAATCGTTGTGAGAGTTAGTTGACAACCTTTTATAGTTTAATTTGGATGTTCTCAACATTGATTGTTTCAATGTTGGAATGATTCGTGTATCGTTTGATTTGCCTTTCTATTTTGTTTGTTTTAAATGTTTCGTTGTGATTTGGCTAATCAGTGAAAACATTTTCATACAGAAAAAAATTGTTCCCCTAGCATATGAACATGTTAATTTTGTTCACTGTAGAACGAATTTTCCATTTCTCACTGTGTATGGTTTGCAATACGTATAAGACCTTTACGACGCTTTAATTTTATCAACGTATTTTGTATGTTCATTAATCTAGTGGTTAAGTCGGTTAAATCCATGTATCCTTTTATTGTGGCTCTTATGTTTAGTGTTTCAAGTACCGGTAACGATACTTGCCTACCAGTTTGGTTAAACGCTTGAATCAACGTTAAGCTAAAATGCCCCGAAGATGTTAGAAGCTCAATATGATATTGTGATGTGCAACCTACCTCCAAAATTGTAGGGTTGCCGTCCTTGTGGCTCGAGCGATAAGTTGTTATCTTGCTTTAACATACAATCAAACGACATTAAAATCAAATACATTGATATTTTGGAGGTGTTTCATAAACCTATAACCTATTTGTACATGTGTTTACGATTGTAAAATGGTCGTAGATAGATGCGTGTATGAGAGTTGTTGCTTAAGCAGCTGAGAATAAGAGCAAGATTTGTTGTGGAAGCAAAAGCATTTTGTAGAAGTTTTTAAACTGTTTTCTCTTTTCCCTTTAAAATTCATTCTTTGAGTTTGTGGCACAAGATGCAGAGGTTAATACGTACGACTTCGATAGAGGCTATTGTGCTAATCGTGGATCCTGTTTGTAGTTCGTCTCTTTTTGTCTTTCACATTCTTTTGCTTTTTTTTGGTTCAGTTTCCCAAGTTTGGTAAAATATTTTAGTGATTTTGTTTCGACATGAGCATCGCTTAAACGTGTTATCATTAAATCACAGCTTAATATAGCTATATATTAAATGCAATAACGACTCCAATTGTCGCGAGTCGCCCTTGAACGGGACGCTTGCTCTGATTAACGATAGCGAGCTCTAGACGTGCGAAGCAAAAAGTAGTAGTCCAAGTCGAAACAAATATTAATATAAGTAATATAAAGCCAAATGTAATAAGTCAACTCGGGGTTTCCAGGTAAAATTCACGACTGAATAAACAGCGAGCACCTCGCTCGCAATGTCACCCTTAGCGTAGCCCTACTCATCAAAACCGCACGTCAGCACGTCCTTGGGTACACTATTGCAGGTGATGCCCCTCCCTTCCCTTTACTGTCGTTTGCATACGTTGCGGTAGGGTCGTATCTCATGTCCGTCCCAGGTTCTTTGCACATCACAATCACGACAGGCAGTACCTTGCCCTTTTGGGAGCACCTTCAACGGCGTATTCAATTGGCAGTGTTGTCCCTCTCCATACTTCACGTCGATGCGAAGTGGTCAGGCACCAATTCGGACAACGAAATCCTGACGATGGCAGAGCTGATTCGGGCGACCCGACAGCCGCTCATCGTCTCGCCATACGACTACAAGTGGCTGGTCACAGGTCACTCTAGAGGGGGAACGAGAACCGTGCCCAAGACGGTTGCCACTGTGGTGTTGGAATTTCCACGTGAACTCTAGCTACAAATGTAGTTAGGATGTTCCCACAACAATACGTCTACTAGGATAGTAAACGATCGTTCGGGCGGACCTGAAGACCCCAGTTCTGCCCTTGCACCGGGACAAACTGGACCTTGTAAACTACTTATATAGGCCAACCAGTAAAAACAAGAACACGCTACTAGCACGAGCAAAGCTAGCAGGCGTTATGAATTCTCGTGGTCCCAACAGCGGAAGGGTACCAGGCACGGGTAAGCCTTTTACGAGGTCACCGGGTGTTCAACCCTCGGTTGGAAGAATAAAAGGGATGCAATACAAGCAATCCCAGTCGTGCAAATACGCAACAATAAGCCGTCACGTAAAACCTCCCGATAGTAATCGGCCAATACACAGTCTCTTGGCCTTGACGGATGAACCCTCGCTACAGAGCTTCGAGTTCACCGACAGGCATAACACACTCAAACAAGCTTGACCGGACGCTTACCTTGAAGCCGGACGTCGCTCTGTGTGCTTGAGTGGAAATTCTGTTCTGTATTTATGTTTACCCTTTCGGGTCTATTCCCAATAAGAAGTCCTATTCAAGTTTACAATTATCAAGTGAACAATGATCCGTTATGGATCTTCTTGCACGCCAAGCGTCGTCTGCACCGTCGCATGAGCATCTTTAACGGCTCGCGCCTTGTCCCAGACGGCGAACGTGCATTCCAGGGGTCGCTGAGGCTTCCGCGAACTCATCCCAACCGCCACCGTGGGTTCGTACGTAGATGATCAGTTCTTGGCCGCTGAATGCGAATCCGACCAGTCCATTATAAATAATAAGGACAGTCTGGATTCAGTGACATATGGACCGTATCCAATATCCGTTGAGAGTTCGGTACTGACGCCATCGAGTCTCTTGCACTTTGGCGCCTCTGTACATCACATGACCTAGGGTTCGTCGCTTGAACATCTTGGGCGGTGTCACGTCTTTGTCGGCGGGCGATTATCCGCAACTATGGAGAAATCAATACACCACACAACTGCTCCTGTCGCTATAGAAGCCACGGTACTGGTGCCTGTTGTGACATTTCTTCATTCTCCAAATCACCATCCAGTCACCGCACGTCCAAGCGTTTAAATCGAGCCGTGACCGACGCGCTTCAGCGTCTCGATCCTCGCCGCCGTCGCGAACGTGAACAGCTGGAGGTACGTCAGCTCATCTTCCTCTTGAATCATCGGCGCCTTGCTCATCACCATGCTGTGGTGTAGCGGGATCAGCAAAATCTGCGAGATTGCCGGATCCAACTTACCAACTGCGTCCAGACACCGACTAACGGAGGGGGTCCCCCGATGATCCGTGTTCTGCTGAACTTTTATCACCTTGTGTACCCGTCGGTAGGGCGGGATCTTGCTCTCTCGGTAATTTCCGAAGCACTCAAGTGGTGAAGCTTGAGTGGCTTGGCGAGACGTGGGGGTGGGGTGGAGCAGCAGTGGAAAATCTTCACTCTGCGTCCGTGGATGGTTCCGAATCCTAAGCGAATATTCGAGCTTATGGATCCGAGGCCTAGATCGTGGATCTGGTCGTAGGGTTGCCTTGCGGGTGTGTCCCTTGCCTTTGCGTTTCCTTTACGTCGTACTTGCTGCCTCCGGTGACGGGATCTTGAGAGTTGAGACCTTCTAGGATGTAACCGAACAAGTAGTAAATTCGGTTAACCGGTCGGGTCTGCACGTGTATAGGAAAAGCTCACTAGGTTGTAGGATCTGGCCAATGTATTATCCAGTTATCACTACCAACACTCGATTCGCAATTCCCAACCTTCTCCTAGCTCGTACGGCCAATGTAGTTCCGATTCTTGAGGGCAGGAAGACACTTGCGTGTTATTGTGCAAATAGAAGTCTGTATTGATACTTAAACCTATACCTGCCTGGATTTCTACCTTCTATGTCTTTCACTTGTTAAATCCCTTACCAGGCTCGGCTGCATGTCCTTTCTTTCCTTGACCATCATCCCAGCTGTATTATCCTCGGATCCACCGGATCCATGGCGTAATCATTATGGTCACCCTATTATGGGTACACTCATCCGGATCCAGATTGATTGGATTCACTTCACTGTATGTGTACAATGCTCTCGTCATGGACCCGAGCTCTCCAACATCGTTCCGCGATCGTCTGTGATCTCCATTGTCCCACGAAAGTTTGCGATCCACTGCATCCATCGTTCCTGGTTCCTGAATCCAGGTCTCTCTATGCGGGATCCTCTTCCTTGAATCGGAGCTCGGAAGTATGGAATCCGGGGTACCTCGCGGTGGATCTTGACTTCTCATTAGCCGTGTTTGCTAGATCCACCTTCAGATGACACCTACCACCATTCCTTCATGGGATCCACTCTTATATAGTA